ATTTTTTTAGTATATTACTTGTGTGGTGTAGAGGATAATTATTTATGTAGAGATATTGCTTGCAAACCAATGATGGTAAGATGATGTCATGGGGTAGGACTGGATAAGTCTGACTTCTTCCTACTCCATTCAAGCATGTACTAGGTATAAGCAAATTGATATTGGATTAGCATTTGTTGGATATGTGTAAAATTATGTGTGTTGATATATCAACTGTCTTTACATGCTTGAAAGAATAAATAAATCAAATCAAATCAAATCAATGTATTGTATAGTCTGATTGCTGTGGGGAGGAATGACCTACGGTAACGCTCCTTCTTGCACTGGGGACGTAACAGTCTTGTGCTGAAAGAACTGTTCAGAGCCTCTACTGTGTGGTACAGGGGGTGGGAGGGGTCGTGCATGATGGATGTTAGTTTTACCAGCATCCTTCTGTCCGCAACCTCCTCGGTGGAATCCAGAGGGCAGCCCAGGACAGAACCAGCTCTCTTAACCAGCTTGTTTAGTCTCGTTCTGTCCCTGTCCGTGCTACCTCCTGCCCAACCCAAAAACAATGTAAAAAATCTGCAGATGCCACTACAGTATCATAAAAAGTCCGAAGGAGTGCCCTGCACACACCAAGGGACCTCAGTCTTCTCAACAAGTGGAGGCGGCTCTGGCCCTTTCTGTACAGGGCAGTATATTGTTGAGGTGGACACACAGGTATTTAAAGGTGTCCACAATCTCAATATCTGAGCCCTGAAAGCTCACTGTCATGAGTGGTGGTGAACCTTCAACCTTCTGGTTGGGAAACGACTGCTCTACCCAACGCACCACTGTTGCCAAACAAACTGTTAAACCAAATAAATTAAGAAATTGCATACTTTTGCAATACTTTTGCATTCACATACTTATATAAACCCAGATATACTTTATATGTAAACACATATTCAAAAAACAAAAATAAATGAAATTAACAAATCGGTAAATGATTAGAAAGACAGGAAAGGGAGTAAAAGAGAAAAAAATAAGAGACAGGTTATATTCTCAGTTAATTTGGTTTCATTGTTATGTGTGGTATATTCAAAACAGTAGCAATGAGGACTAATAACAGTAGCAATAATGAAATAAAAAGCAATTTGTTATATTTCTAGGAGTTTGTGGGAATGTATGCGGCCTCAGCCCTAGGTATCTGGTTTAAATTAAAAAAGGTGAGAAACGGATTCCAAGTGTCAGCAAAAGTTGGTATATTTTTCTTTTGGGTGGATGATATTTTCTCTAGTGTGATATATTCTATGAGAAGGTTGGTCCATTGGTTGATGTGTAATGAATTTTTAGATTTCCAGTTTAGAAAGAATGAAATAGTGTATTAGTGTTTCAGCCTTGTACCTAAAATACAGAGACTGAGATGACAGCCATGCGGCTCACCCTCCCTGCAGAACCATTATAAACGCTTTAGAAAACAGTAATAGAAGTTATGCGACCACTACCTTTAGATGCAGTGCTTTTTTTTTT